AATTAAGAAAATAAATAACAAAACGGAATGGATTAAAAGCCCATTTCCTCCCACTTTGGCCCCTGTCAGAGCAAAGATTAAAGAAAAAAATCCCAACTCTGCTATTTAGATTCCCGGCCCTTCTAAACAGGTTCTATTCCATGTCCCATTGTCCTGTATCAGGAATATTGGGCTTGATAGGAGTTATAGTCCAAACCAACTGGAAAGACCCTGATTTGGGAAAATAGAAAGAAACAGCCTTTCTGTTTCCCTTTGCAATGTCATTTCATTAATTTAGCAGAGATGGAAGCATCAATAGCGGCAATGAAATCACTAAATTTTTTATTTCTGGCCAGGTTTTTTAGTTTATTCCTACAATGAATTTGCTTTATTTTGAAGGTTGATACGGCCTCATTGGCTCTTTCCCAGGGCTTGCACCGAGCAATACCTCAGAAAAGCTTCGGCCAAGGCCGTCTTTAAATAAGTTTTATCTTCCGGTGATTTGCAGGGATCAAAGGGAATATAATTAGGCAGTATAGGTTGCCTAGCAACCCTGGGAGTATAATCTGACCTCTTATCGTAACAATCCCACATAGCATCACCTGCTGAACTATATTTGAACTATGAATAGCAGGATGATATCATCTCACTAACCTGTTCCAGTAATATTCCAGTAATGTTTTGTTTGTTTTGGAGTTTTTAGCCATTTTATTTTCAGTGTTTGATCTCAAAGGGCCCTTTGCCTGGCCAATTAATCACACACCAAGAATGAGATCAAATCAATTTAATTATGCAGAATATGTCTGTTGGGTTTATTCCTATAGCAAAGAGCAAGCAAAACTTGCTACCGTGTTTCTCATATAATAAGGCCGGGTCTTATTTTTTTTTGAGCCCCGAAAAAATGGCTAGGCCGTCTTTTCGGGGGTGACTTAATTCCCCCCCCCTTTGCATCTTTGGGCAGGCGGGCGGCGACGGCTTGGATGTTGACCTCGGCGTTGGGGGGGGGCACTTCGTATCGGGGTCAACGCAGGCAGCACCATATCAGGGTGTGCAAGAAAAGTACTTCCTTACGGCAAGCTCCCCCCACCATTCCCCCCCATTTCGCATGTTTTAATATAGGCCTTAATTTGGGGGGGGAGGGGCTTAATTTCATTTCATGCCTATAAAACATGCCGGGACTTCCTATTGGGGGAGGCTGTATTGTTGGAGAAACAGGGTACCATTTTTATACCTGTGGGTTGTAAGCAAGTGCAGTTGATCTCAAGAGATGCATGGTATAAGAAATTGTTCCCTATAAGCATTCCTTAGATCTGAGATTATCTCTCTCTCTCTCTCTCTCTCTCTCTCTCTCTATCTATCTATCTATCTATCTATCTATCTATCTATCTATCTATCATCTTCTACAGTATCTATTTATCTATCTATCTATCTATCTATCTATCTATCTATCTATCTATCATCTTCTACAGTATCTATCTATCTATCTATCTATCTATCTGTCTGTCTATCTATCTATCTATCTATCTATCTATCATCTTCTACAGTATCTATCTATATCTATCTATCTATCTATCTATCTATCTATCTATCTATCTATCTATCTATCTATCTATCTATCTATCTATCTATCTATCTATATCATCTATTTATGTCTATTATCTATCATCTGTATCTTCTATTATCTATTGTACATATATCTATTATGTATTGTCTCTTATCTATCATTATTTGTCACTTCATCACATCTATGTCTCTCTCTTATCTATCATCTTTATATATCCACCCACACATTCATCATCTTGGAATTCTGGTGGACAATCACTTAAATAGATCTGTTTTAACAGATTAACAGAGTTGGAAGGGCTCTTGTAGGTCATCTAGTCCAACCCCCCACCCAAGCAGGAGACCCTACACCATTTCTGACAGATGGCCAGTCCAGTCTCTTCTTGAAAGCCTCCAATGACAAAGCTCCCACAACATCCAAAGGCAACTTCTTTTCCATGGGTTGATTGTTCTCCCTGTCAGAAAATCCCTCCTTATTTCCAGGTTGAATCTCTCCTTGTTCAGTTTCCATCCATTATTCCTTGTCTGGCATTCAGGTGCTTTGGAGAATAGCTTGACCCCTTCCTCCTCTCTGTGGCAGCTCCTCACATATTGGAAGGCTGCTATCCTGTCTCCCCTGGTCCTTCTCTTCACTAGACTAGCCATGCCTCGGTCCTGCAATTAGCAGAAATATGAGCCAGGAGTGTGCGGCCGCTGCCAAAAAAGCCAACGCAGTTCTACACTGCATAAACAGAGGGATCGATTCAAGATCATGTGAAGTGTTAATACCACTTTATAATGCCTTGGTAGGGACACACTTGAATTCTGCACCCAGTTCTGGTCACCACAATACAAAAAAGATGTTAAGACTCTTGAAAGAGAGCAGAGAAGAGCAACAAAGATAATTAAGGGACTGGATGATAAAACACACGAAGAACGGTTGCAGGAATTGGATTTGTCTAGTTTAAGGAAAAGAAGGACCAGGGGTGACATGATAGTAGTATTCTAGTATTTGAGGGGCTGCCCCAAAGAAGAGGGGGTCCAACTATTCTCCAAAGCAGCTGAAGGCAGGAGAAGAAGCAACGGATGGAAACCAATCAAGGAGAGATCCGACTTAGAAATATTTGAGAAATTTCCTAACAATTAGAACAATTAATCAGTGGAACGGCTTCCCTTCAGAAGTTGTGAGTGCTCCAACACTGGAACATTTTTAAGAAGTGATTGGACAACCATTTGTCTGAAATAGCATAGGGTTTCCTGTTTGAACCGGAAGATGAACCTCTAGGGCACCTTCCAACTCTTATTATTGGCAAATCGTCAGCTGAAAATGCAAGAAGCTACCATGATCTGATTGTTTGCTGCTCCAATACTAAGAACAACTCCCAGTTCTGCCACCAAATCACGAACTATAATTTTTAAAAATTGCTTCCCAGGAATTGAATAATTTACCAGCTCATTTGGGCAAGCCACTAGAATTTTGAAAATAAACAGCATTGTTCATTAACTAACAAGAAATTTTTGCCACACTTTAGTTTTTAATTGGAAAAATGATGTGTTCACTCCACTTCCTGAAAACAGTTTTAAAAATCTCAAGTTTTAAAATGAGTCAGCCTTTTTTTGGGTTTCCTCTTTTTGTGACAAATGATATTCAGCAAAAAAAAAAAAAGTGAGAAAAGATTATTTGATGAGTTTCAACATGACTAATTAGCAGCATGTTAGGAAGACTGACAAATTGTTGTGTTCCTAGAACATTTTAAATAAAAGCAGAGCAGTGAAACAGTAAAATAATTTTAAAAACAACAATAGTGACTGGAAGGAACTGGAGAGAGAGAGAAAATGGAATTATTATCAGGGTCTTGAGTTTCCAAACTGCTCATTGGGGTGTAATGTATCAATGATGTTATATTGTCAAAATCAAAATAAAACAGATTTTATTTTGTAAAAATGTGTAAATCCACAGTATTCCCAGATTTGGCCATTCCACCTTCGTGAAGGTATCGTACATCTGGATACAAGTAGTCCTGGACTTACAACAATTCAGTTAGTGACTGTTCAAAGTTGCAACGGCACTGAAAAAAGTGACTTATGGCTGTTTTTCACTTGTATAACTTTTGTAGCGTCCCCTTGGTCGTATGATCACAATTCAGATGTTTGGCATCTGTCTGCCTCATATTTATGACGTGATCCCCTTTTGCAACCTTCAGACAAGCAAAACTGATGGGGAAGCCAGATTCACTTAACAATCGTGCTACTTATCAATTATGGTGATTCACTATGGCGAGAAAGGTCATAAAATGAGGCAAAAATTCCCTTAACAAATATCTCCCTCAACAATAGAAATTTGGGGCTCAATGATAGTCATAAGTCAAGAATACAACTTGTGGGATCTTCATCACCGGAGGCTTTCAAGAAGAGATTGGTCTGTGATTTGTCAGAAATGGCATAGGGTCCCTTGCTTGGGGGTGGGTGGGGTTGGACTAGATGACCTACAAGGTCCCTTCCGACTCTGTGATTCTGTATTAACTTGCTGCAGCCAGTTCGCTGGTGGACAACAAGTTACACGAACATCAAGAAATGGTGGAATAGCATAATTAAAGAAAGATTGCCAAAGGAGAGACAAATATGAAACGTGAATGACAAAAATTATTTCAAATAATGGTGTAGGGTGCCTTGCTTGGGCAGGGGGTTGGACTAGATGACCTAGAAGGTCCCTGTCATGCCCCTGTTGGAATCTGATTCCGAGGGGGAGGCCGAGCAGCTGACAGACAGTGGGAGTGTGGCTCCAGTGGCTATAGAAGAAACTGGGGAAGGGCAAAGTCCGGCTGGGCAGAGCAGAGGAGAGGTAGAGCAAGCCAGAGGAAATTCAGAGGAAGATCTAGGCCCACCTCCTCTTCATCCTAGGGCATGCAGGGAAGAACAGAACAGGGAGCAATGTGAGTTGTATGGCTTATGGGGGAGGAAAGGGCCCTGATTCCCTTCATTAGCTGCTGCTGGGAACACAGTGTTTAAAAAGGGAGATTGTGCACAGCAAACTGTTGAGAGCAAATCGTGAATTATCTGGTATTGTCAAGGCTTATCTGGGTTCCTGGCGTCTTCCCAACTATGTGTGTTTTGCTGGCCATTAAAGTCTGCAATTCCTTCTCCTGTCCTGTCAAGTTAATTGCTACAGCGTGGTTTGTCTGGATTTTTATTTACAGTTTGTATATACTTTGTTTTCGGAATTTCCTCCACTTAAAGACTGTTTCTGAGAGTTTTTTTTCTCCAACCGAAGGTAACCTGGACATTGGGGGCAAAGTTGGAGGTATTAAAGGGGCGTTTCTTACTTATGTGACTGTGTTGCCTTTGTGCCACGCCCCAGGATATCACAGCCCCTTCTGATTCTGTTAAATCTGTAAATCTCTAAAGCTCCCTGCAAGTCCAGTCACAAAATAACCCCCATTTGAAGATTCATCCATCAGACACCAAGATTATCGTACAACTTTCACTAACGTTTTATTAATTCCGAAGATATTTTACGTATGTAGTAAAAAGACTGCCAGATTATGCATGTTTTAGAGTCAGGTAAAGTGCAAACAGTATAAAGTGACATGCCGAAAGGGAAGGAAGCAACAGATAATTTGCAGAAGATGGCGGAGAAGACATCCGCCTCCCCTCCATATCCCAGCCAGGAAATGCAGACATTGATCGGGCTACGGAAGGACGTTCCTCTCCTCATCTCCAAAATGTGAAAAAGAGCCGGTCCCAAAATTTGCTTTCTTTTTCTTTTTTTTGAGGGGGGCGTATTTTAGTGTTTTCCTTTGGACGCCAGCAGCAAGCGGCGCTTCCCAATCTGTTGTAGGAAGGACGTCCCAGTTGGAGAAGGAAGAATCGCACGGAAGTTAACGGATACAACGTCCATCCAAATTTGGCCCTCCGAACCAACGTTCCCATGGTTGGTTTCTTCTCAGGAATCAAAAGCTTTGCATTCTCAGGACGTAGTTTCTGTAGAGAAGATGGCCAGGAAAACCACACCGGTGTAGGAAAATGAAGATCTCTACTACGGGAAGCCGCCGGAGGAACGCATCCGGATAGCAAATGTCTGTTCCATCTTTTTTTCCAAAAAGGGGGGAAAAAACAACAACATTTTCGTTAAAACTTTTGGAGAGTCACCGAATAAAGTTATTGGATTTAACCTGGTTTGTTCTTGCCTGCAACATTTTTGTTTATTGACTGATTTGTATCCTGCCTTTGTTGTTTTCACAAATAATTCAAGGTAGTGAATTTAGTAAATCCTCATCCTATTTCCCCTACAACAACAAACCTGTGAGGTGGTTGGGCTGACAGAGGGAGGGACTGGCCCAAAGTCACCCATTTGGCTAAGATGGCACTAGAACTCCCAGTCTCCTGGTGATTGGATCAAAGTCATCCAGACCGCTTTCATGTCTTAGGCGAGACTAGAACTCCCAGTCTCCT